ACACACACACACACACACACACACACACACTCTGTTTCCTCCTCTTTCCTGCTCCATTGACCTGACCTGAAGAGCTGTAGTCGAGTGTACTCACAGCAGCGTGACGTCACTGCAGCCGCTCAGCCGCTGGACGAGGAAGGTGGCGTACGCGAAGGAGGGTCGGCCATGACGGAGGTAGTACAGGAAGTCCAGGTTCTCCACCAGAGCGAACCTGCCCACCAGGTGAGGGCTGGAGAAATGAGGCAGCTCTGAGGTTTCTGTGGAGGACGATCAGCTGATGGTTAGCAGGTACAATGTCCACCGCCCTAGTTCAGCGTGTTAGCATGCTAACGTCAGTGTGCTAACATGATGTCGCGCAGGTTTCGAGAGCTTACCGGTGGAGTTGAGGGTGTTTGCTGACTGCCAGCCGAACAGCCTGGATGGGTCCAGAGGGTGGAGCGACTGCAAAACACGTCACACAACACAAACACAATGTAACACAACAACAACAACAACAACAACAACAAGCACGACATGTAGAGATGTGACCCGACAGAACGTTTAATGAAAACCAGCTCCACGGGAGAGGAGGACCGGTGTGAGCGTGTACCTGCAGGAGGTGGTAGACGGAGATGTCCGAGGACGGGCTGCTTCCTCGGGGCCCGGAGGGGAACAGGGCGGCCCTCAGTTTCGGGTGGGGGGCCAGCGCCATCTTCAGGAGCTGGGGGTCCACCGTCCTCTCAGACCTGCCCGACCGTTCACCCTGAACCACCACCTGCAGCACAGGAAGCTCATGGAGGACTGTTCCAGACCCACAACCAGCTGCTCAGAGGGATTCAGTCTGTCTGAGCTCCTACTGATTATATCTGGATCTGATGTTTACCTGGTCGATGCCTCCGGGGGCGAACATGACGGCAGCCAGAGCCAGCAAACTGTGACCCTCTAACAGCAGACTGCTGAGAGACGCCTGGCTGCCTGGTAACAGCACCTGAGCACTGGTTAGACTGGCCTGGAACACCAGTCCTGGATCTGGAACACAAGAGAGACAGAGACCAGGTCTCATGAACTCACCACGTATGTAGTGTTATAGTTTATTCTCAGAGCATCGTGAGTCGGTTTGTGGTTTCTTTACCTGACAGATCTCTGGTGATCTCCTGGATCTTCACCAGCATCTCAAACCAGGGCTGGCTCTCAGACAGGCTCTGATTGGTCAAGAGGGGACAGTTCCTGGGCGTCAACCTATGGAGGACGGACGCAAGAGCTCATTAGCATATCATTAGCATACTCTCTGATATTCAGATGAAAGTCAGACGGACCTGTGGTGCTCCAGGTAGGTGTACAGCAGGTACTGCAGGCCGCGGTCCACACAGAAGGAGATGAAGAGGCCGTGGAGGTCGAGGCCGAGGGGGGAGCGGTACTGAGGGATGGGGGGGGGCGAGGCCATCACCCCCCC